TGTGGCCTCCTGAACTCCACCTGAGGTTTCCTGAAGGCTCTTGGGGCTCCCAGGGGGGATATCTAACCTGTGGCCGCTTGGGCCCCTCAAAATGGAGGGGGGGGCACAAGAGCAGGAAAAATCAACGAATCGACACCGGATGTGTATTAACTTGACACGTTCTGATAGAGGGCCTCCTGGGGATCCTGGGAACCTCCTGGGAATCTCCTGGGGGCCCCTGGGGCCTGTCCTGGGCGTCCTGCGGCCTCCTGGACCTCTCTGGGGCCTCCTGAGGCTCGCAGGGTCCTATGGAGGATATGTCACATGTGGTCTTCTGGGCGCCCAAGCTGGACCACCTCTCGCGCAGCATCTGAGAGCTCAGAGTTGCGAGAATGTCTTGTGCGAAACAGACCGGACCACCTTGCGCACGGCATCTCAGAGCTCAGAGTTGCAAGGATGTCTCAGGCGAGACGGGCCGGACCACCTCGCGCAGGGCATCTCAGAGCTCAGAATTTCGAGGATGTCTCAACGAAACGGGCCAGACCACCTCTCGCGCAGCATCTCCGAAGTCAGAGTTTCGAGGATGTCTCAGGCGAAATGGGCCGGACCACCTCGCGCAAGGCATCTCAGAGCTCAGACTTGCGAGGATGTCTCAGGCGAAACGGCCCCGACCACCTCTCGCACGGCACCTCGGCCCGGACCACCTCTCGCGCGGCGTCCCGGAGCGCAACTTTTCGAGGATGTCTCAGGCGAAACGGCCCGGACCACCTCTCGCACGGCACCGGAGCGCTCTTTTTGAGGATGTCTCAGGCGAACGGCCCGGACCACCTCTCGCACGGCACCTCGGGGCTCAGAGTTTCGAGGATGTCTCAAGCGAAACGGCCCAGACCACCTCTCGCGCGGCGTCCCGGAGCGCAACTTTTCGAGGATGTCTCAGGCGAAACGGCCAATCCCAGCCAACTCAGAAACGAGAGTTGTGAGGATGTCTCAAGCGAAACGGCCAAAACCATGAAATTTGTGTGAGGATGTCTCTGCTCCGACTTCCCTCGGCCGGAGTTAGTTTCTACCACAACAGCACCCCCTTCAGCAAGCTGTTTGGGAAACGAAACCCGTCGTAACGCACGGCGGGTGGGGAAAAACAGAAAGAATCGGCCAACGATGATGTTGCTCCTATTATGGCTACGCCATAGGCTGTGCCATCGGCCGCCGAGGGTATGCATGGCTCAACTGTTTTACGCGATTGGTGGCGCCCCGCCCGCCCAATTCAATCACGGGGTTTGGGCTACAGCCGACACCAGCACGAGCATATTAGCCAGACTGCGCGCACCTTTCTGACGGAACGCGGTCACGAGCCTGGGAACTCCACGAGTGCCCGACCGCACGGAAAATTAAAGACTCAGGGTGTCGGCGCACCTTAGTTCTCTGCTGGCTGTCCTGCACCATATGTATGCTGTCTGTTCTGCACCATGTGGTAATAATATGATCCACAAGACAACGAAGATGCGCCTAGCCCTGAATGATGCCGCTGCGCCACGCTCATACCCACACCCCATACCTATCCATCTCCCCCCCCCCCGCCGCTGCAGCGGTCTAGGACTATACACAGTCCCCTAATTCAATCGCGAGGCGATCGCGTGCCATCGCGCGGATGGTACCGGGGTCACGGCGCATCACGATCGCCTCGGCCAGCTGGACCGTGTTGATCATCCAGAACCCTGGCCGAGGCGCCCCGTCGGCGCGCTTCTTCTTCCGCGGCGGCTGCTGCTGCTGCTGCTGCTGCGTGTTGCTGATGTGGACGGCTGCTGCTTCAGCAGCTGCGGCTGCGGCGGCTTCGGCTGAGGCGGCGGCAGCATCTGCGACTTGCTGCTGGCGCTGCTGATGCTGCTGCTGCAGCAGCTGATGCTGCTGCACGGCGGTCGCCAGCTGTGCCTGCCACTGCTGCTGCGTGCACGGCCACTGCTGCTGCTGTTGCTGCTGCAGCAGCTGCTGCTCGTGCCACTGCTGCTGCATCAGCTGCTCACGCATCAGCTGCTCCTGCTGCTGCTGCCCGCGCAACTGCTTGCGCTGCAGCTCGTGCCGCTGCTCCCACTGCTGATGCTGCTGCAGCAGCTGCGACTCGTGCCACTGCCCGCCCTCCTGCGGGTTGACGGCCTCCCGCTGCGGCTCGCGCCACGGCTGTGGCTGCCGCGGCACGTGGCACTGCAGCGCCGCCGTCAGCTGCCCTGCAGCTCCGCAGTGCCGACGGCGCCGTCGCTCATCACGGGCCCATACGACCGCCCGACGCAACGCGGGCCTGCCCTCCGCTGACCTTGACACGACAGCTGCAGCTGACGCCCGCGATGCATGCGACGTCGTCTGCAGCCGACATCCGACGGGCGACGCGCACGACGGCGACGAACCACGGACGACATGCAATCATCCGAATGGAACGACTGACGACGAACCCACATAGGAGGGATGAGGGGGGAGGGCGATTCACATCGCTGCAAATCCACATCATGTGCCTCGCACCTCGTCCCATTCACAGTCCTCGGCGCACTGACATCGCCCTTCACTGGCCCACCGTATGCTGCATCACTGCTGTTGCCCCGCGTCGTCGTCGTCCGTCGCCCTGCGTTGTTTGCCACGCGCGCAGCGCAGCTGCGCCCCCCCCCCCACCCCCTGCATGCACATATCCTACGCCTAAGCACCCGCGGCTGCGGCTGCAGCCGCTGCTGCATGGCCACTTGCACCCTCCACCTGCCACGCGCGCGCGGGCGCGCGCGGCGCGGATCGCGGCGTGCCCCGCGGATTCAGGCTTGAACCACTTGTAGGTCCAGCCGCCCTCGCCCGCCCGTCGCCTTGCGACGTGCGCGTTCCTCTTGCGGAGCCAGTGGGCGCCGACCGCTCTGGGGGCGCCGCCGCCGCAGATGCACCGCCGTCGTCGCCGTCCTGGGCGCCGCCCTCGGCGCCGCCCTGGGCGCCGCCCCCGGCGCCCGCGTCGCCGCCCTCGGCGCCGTCATCGGTGACCTCGTCGCTGTCCCGGGCGTCCGATCCCGCGAGCGATGCGCTGCCATCGGCGCCGCCCTCGGCGCCGTCCTCGGCGCCGCCCTCGGCGCCGTCCTCGGCGCCCGCGAGGTCCTCGGGATGCCCAGCTGCAGCTGGGAAGCATGCACAACCTCACCACACCAACGCGCTAACAACTACACGTGCCCAGCTGCAGCCGGGCACCATCCAACAACACCATCTGCCCTGCGCGGCCTGGGCGCGGAGGCGGGCGAGGGCGCCGGGCTCCAGCTCGACGAACAGGGACCGCCGCTCGTCGACGTTCTGCAGCACCCTGACGACTCCGCCACCGCAGGCGACCTCCACGATGGGGGGGGGGCGCCCGCACCCACCATGGCCTTGTAGTACTTCTGGGGGGGGGGCAGCTGCAGCTGGGTAGCAAGCGCGAACACCGAGCACCCATATCCTTGAGAAGCTTGCGCATCTTGTGGGCGCCGTAGGTGTTGATGTCGGCCCCCCGCGGCGCAGCCGCCTGCAGGCTCGCCTGCTTGCGCTTGCGCTTCAGCGAGTCCACCATCTTCCGCACCACCGTGCTGCGCTGTTCCAGTAACCTCCAGTGGGGATGTCCTGGTGCCCACGCATCGGACAATGCAAACTTAGTACAAGCAGCCCTGCCCACCGCGTAGGCCACTGCATGCAATGACACATTAACCCCACCCAGACCGACCTACCCCGCGCGCGCGCGTCGGCCGTAGCAGACGCGTCGGTCGCGGGATTTATATTTAGACGATGTGACCCCGAACGGGCAGGCGGGCGCGCGGCAGCACGGGTGTCGACTTTTCGATGGACATCCACCTCGCCAAAGGCAGTATCGTCGACGACCACCCCATTCGACACGCGCCATGCGCATCCGTCGTCGATGGTCACAACCGCTGGCCGAACCACCGCAATCGCCATGGGCACACCGCGGTCTTTACAACCCCTAGACCGCCGCCGCACCTGCACCACAAAGGCTAAGCGGCGACGCGGCGGATGCGCACGCGCCAAATCACACGACAGCTCGCCGCGTGGGTTGCAGCCCAAACGACGAGCATAAGTCGGGCGAACCCAGCACGCAATCCGATGCCCAGCCACTCTGTGCCCCGTCTGCGCCGCGCCATAGGTTGCACGCTCGGCCGCCGAGGGTATGACTATATAACTCCTGGTTGTGCTATAGGTTGCGCCCTCGGCAACCGATGGCATAGCTGGTTCCCATTGGTTGCGCCATTGGCTGCACCCTTGGCCGCCGAATACATATCTGGCACATAGTAGATTGCGCAGTCGGCCGCCGAGGATATAAGTTGCACCCACTGGTTTCGCCACTGGCTGCGCCCTCTGCCGCCGATGATATAGTTGGATCATTCTGGCTCTTATTGGTTGTGCCATAGTTTGCGCCCCCGCCCGTCAGTCAGTTACCTCGCGAGAAGCATATTCTGGCTAACGCCCGACATGTTATGATATTCCCTGTCCCTCACCACCCCCGTTTCCCCTCCCGACATCCCTCTCGACGTCGTCGTCCTCGTCGCATATACTACACTGTCGCATTCCTCTGCCACCCCCTCCCTCATCCGATCCGCCGCCCTCCCCCGCGCGGGCTGCGGCCCATCGGGCGCCTGCAGCGACCCGGCGCGCGCGATTGATTATCGGCGCGCGCGGCCGACGCGCCGCCGACAGACATCGATGGGTTCATATGTCAGCCGACGCCCAGTCGTCTGAAATGTCTCCCGACGCGCGGTCGGCAGACTGTACCGCGCAGCTATCACTGCACCTTGCGCTTCTGCCCCCCTCTGCAGCGGCGGCACATGCAGCTTGAGCTGGTCGCTTGTGAGGCTACGCAAACCGCGCGTCGTCGTTGTCGTCGTCGTCGTCGCGCCTGGCTTCACCTCCTTGGTGTTCACCAAGCACGGCGCGTTCAGCTTGCGTGTGCCAGTGTTGTCCGTCAAGACCACCTCGACGGCGCTCTGCTTCGCGTTGCCGTCGTCGGAGGAACTGGGGACCTGCCAGCACGGCGCCGCCCGCGGAGGCGCGCCTTCTCGCCCGCAGCGAAGCGCGGCAAGATGGCAACGTTGGATGCCGATGGCGGCATGCCATCACGCTGCAGCGCGACGGTTCCCAGGTCGACCGCCGACGTCGGCTCGTCAGCCCAGGTCGCGCCAGCGGCCTTCGTGACGAACCTGGTGCTGGGCGCCACCAGCGCGAGCCCGCCTTTTTTTGCACTTGGCGTCGCCTTCGGGGCGCGAGCTGCAGCTCGACGCCCAGGGTGAACCGTCAACCTAACACAATTAATCACACATACAACGCTGTTTAGGCACAACGCGCCTGTGAGATGCACCGCGGTCGGGAGCTCCAAGATCACGACGGCCGTGAGCACCTCGCAGCGCTTGTCATGCGCGACTCGCGCCGCGCGCATGCATACGCCGATGGCGACGTCGGCGCCCCAGCCACTGAGGTCCACGCCGCGCGGCTGCATGGCGACCTGGCGCTTAAAACCCCTTCAGCAACGTCGTGGTCTTCTTCTCCAGCTCGGCGTTGATGTCGACCGTCTTCGGCTCCATGGCGCGGGCGAGCGTGGTTTTGGTGGTGGTTTCGGCGCCCTTCTTCGGGAGGGGGAAGAAGAAGGAAACCGGAACCGGAACCGGAACCGGAACCAAAACCAGAACAGAAGAGCGCCGGAAGAAGGCAAACACAAACCGGAACCAAAACCAGAACCGAAACCAAAACCAGGACCTCGGGAGCCCCTCGAACCAAAGAAGAAAAAGGAAACCGAAACCGGAACCGGAACCGGAACCGGAACCAAAACCGCGACCTAGGAGGCCTTCTTCGGGGCGGGGAAGAAGAAGGAAACCGGAACCGGAACCGGAACCGGAACCAGAACCATGACCGGAGGCGCCCCTGGGCACCGAGAAAAAGAAGGAAACCGGAACCGGAACCGGAACCGGAACCGGAACCACGACGACCGTCTCAAACGAGGAAAGAAGAAGGAAACCGGAACCAGAACCAGAACCGGAACCACAACCGTGACCTGGAAAGTTTTCTCTGCGGGCGAAAAAGAAGAAGGAAACCGGAACCAAAACCAGAACCGGAACCAAAACCGTGACCTGAGGGTCTTCTCTGGGGCGGAGAAGAAGAAGGAAACCGGAACCGGAACCGGAACCGGAACCAAAACTGTAACCTGGAAGGTCTTCTTTGGGACCCCGAAGAAGAAGGAAACCGGAACCGGAACCGGAACCGGAACCAAAACCGTGACCTGGGGGGTCTTCTTCGAAGACAGAAGAAGAAGGAAACCGGAACCGGAACCAAAACCAAAACCGTAATCTGGAAGGTTTTTTCTGGGACCCCGAAGAAGAAAGAAACCGGAACCAAACCAAAACTGGAACCAAAACCGTGACCTGGGGGGTCTTTTTGGGGACCCCCAAGAAAAAGGAAACCGGAACCAAAACCGGAACCGGAACCAAAACAGCGACTGGGGGGTCTTCGGGAGCCCGACGAAGAAGGAAACCGGAACTGGAACCGGAACCAGAACCAAGCCGTGACCTGGTAGGTTTATTTGTGCTCCGAAGAAGAAGGAAACCGGAACCAGAACCGGAACCGGAACCAAAAACCGTGACCTGCAGCTTCCTTGGCTTCGGAAAAGACGGAAACCGAAACCAGAACTGGAACGGCATTCAGAACCGTGACCTGCGGTAGTCCACATGGCACTCCCGTGAAGAAAAAGCTGGCACCATGAGGTGCTGTCTTGGAGACAGAGGTTATTGAATAGCGGGTGCTCCCTTGGAGATGGAGTCTCTTGGAAACAGAAGCGGCGGGGCGGGCGGGCGGGCGGGGGGCGGGCGGGTTGGTCGGGTTTTTAAGTAGACCTCTAGAGAGTGCTCTCTGGCAGCGGGGTCTGTTGAGTACTGGGTGCCTTCTTGGACACGGGGTCTGTTGAGTACTGGGGGTTGTCTTGGAGACGGAGGCTTGTAAATACTGGGTGCTCCCTTGGACACGGAGTCTGTTGAATATTGGGTGCTGCCTTGGAAACGGGAGGTGTTGAATAGTGGCTGCTCTCTTGGAAACGGAGTCTGTTGAGTAATGGGTGCTCTCTTGGAGACAGAAGCGGGCGGTCGGGCGGGCGGGCGGGGGGCGGGTGGGCGGGTCGGGTTTCCAAATAGACTTCTAACGAATGCTCTCTGGCAACGGGGTGTGTTGGACACGGAGTCTGTTGAATACTGGGTGCTGCCTTGGAGACGGAGGCTGTTGAGTAGTGGCTGCTCTCTTTGAAACGGAGTCTGTTGAGTAATGGGTGCTCTCTTGGAGACAGAGGCGGGCGGTCGGGCGGGCGGGCGGGCGGGGGGCGGGCGGGCGGGTCGGGTTTTTAAACTAGACCTCTAGTGGGTGCTCTCTGGCAGCGGGGTCTGTTGAGTACTGGGTGCCTTCTTGGACACGGGGTTTGTTGAGTACTGGGTGCTCTCTTGGACACGGAGTCTGCTGAATACCAAGTGCTGTCTTGGAGACGGAGGTTGTCTGAGTAGCGGGTGCTCTCTTTGGGACGGAGTCAGTTGAATAGCGGGTGCTCTGTTGGAAACAAAAGCGGGCGGTCTTTAAATACACCTCTAGTGGGTGCTCTCTGGCATCGTGGTCTGTTGAGTACTGGGTGCCTTCTTGGACACGGAGTCTGGTGAGTACACACGGAGTCTTGCAGACGGGGTCTGTTGAGTGCTGGGTGTTCCCTTGGACACGGAGTCTGTGGAATACCGGGTGCTGCCTTGGAGAGGGAGGCTGTTTAGCACAGAGTGATGTTTGAGAGACGGGGTCAGTGGACTCGTTGTTTAGTGGTTTTTGTTTTGGAAGCACAGGCCTGGACCGGAATTGGACCCAAAACCGTGACCTGGAAAATCTTCGTTTGGACCACGAAGAAGAAAGAAACCAGAACCGGAACAGGAACCAAAAACCGTGCCTTGGGGGGTCTTCTTTGGGAGCCCGAAGAACAAGGAAACCAACGCCGGAACCGGAACCGGAACTGAAACCAGAACCATGATCTGGATAGGCTTCTCTGGGGCCCCGAAGAAGAAGGAAACTGGGACCAGAACCGGAACCGGAACCAAAACCAGAACCGTGACTTTGAAGGTTTTCGTTGGGGCCCCGAGGAAAAAGGGAACCGGAACCAGAAGAGGAACCGGAAGCAGAAACCGTGACCTGAGGGTGCTCTCTCGGAGACGGAGTATGTTGAGTAGTGGGTGCTCTCTGGCAGCGGGGCCTGTGGAGTACTGGGCGCCTTCTTGGACACGGAGTCTGTTGAGCACACGGTACTGTCTTGGAGACGGAGTCTTTTGAGTACTGGGTGATCCTTTGGACGCAGAGTCCGTTGAATATTGGGTGATGTCTTGGAGACGGAGGCCGTTGAGTAGCGGGCGCTTTCTTGGAGACGGAGTCCGTTGAAGACTGGGCGCTGTCTTGGAGACAAAATAATCGGAAGGTGGGAGGGAAGAGCATGAGAAGGAATATGAGGAAGATAACAAGGAGGAGGAAGAGGAGGAGGAGGAGGAGGAGGAGGAGGAACAGGGCGCGGGAGGGATAATAATGAGGATAACCAAGAAAGACCGCGCAGAGAGGCGCAGGCGCCGCAGAAGCACACGGAGCGAACAAGTCAACTGTCAAGCACAGTGAAACGCGAAAGCCCTGCTGAAACCCACTGCGTCGGTCGAGGCTGAACGCGCAGGGCGACCCAAACGAAGCCGGGCTAATTAAGCAGGGCGGTTGCTGTCAGGAGCGGGCCTGGTTCTCAGGAGCGCTTGGCCCTTGCTGACATAACCTTGGTGTTCTCAAAATCGAACAGCAAATCTTCCGGCTGCGTCGGCGTAGCCGCGCAACCGCTCGGCGCATTCTGGTGTTTTCTGAAACAAATATGTGTGGAATTGATTGCCTTAAAGGCAAGGCTGCAATTACGTTCGTATTTCCTTTGCTGCGCGGCGTTCTGGGATGTGGCGGACGCGCGCGGCTGCGCACATTTATAATAGTAAACGGCAAAATGCCCCGGGTTCATATTCATTCCCACGTACGTGATCCGATCAAGAAACGAAAAGCACTGCTCGCAAGCCTCAGTGTCGATGTGGGCAGTGAGATGCTTGTTCTCGTCGTGCCTGGGGTCCAATTTCCTTGCAGCCTCTGGGTCCTCCAAGCAACGAGTGTGGTTGCGCACGTGCCAACTGTCAAGCATATAGTGTAAGAGGCTTAATAGCCGAGAAGTCGCCGTGCGGCCGCGCCGCTTCGGATTGGCGGCGTACTTCGCCAAGGCGCAGGCGTTGTCAAAAAATACCACATCAGGAACCCGACCACCGAGCCCTGCATCCCGGCACTCTTGGATGAATTGCACAACGCCCGCCAAAACGACGTACACTTGGCTCGTCCCTTCTCCAAACTGGTGTTCTTCCCAATCCAAAAAGAGCCGGCAACCGCTCACGGCGGCAATAATTCCCCCCAAACGTCTGCGCTCCCATTTTTTGGGAGCTTTGCTTCCCTGCGCAGCTTTATCGATATGGCATTCGCCCTTGTCGCAGTCGTCCTCGGCGAGCACGTGCGTGCCTGAAGGGGCCGTCGCCTGTGAGCCACCGCGCGCTCTCTGGACGCGTTTCGTGCCGCGTGCCGCGGTAGTTTTCAGTCTGGACATGTCGTAGCTCCGGCGCATAGTCAGGCTCACGTCAGAGGATTTCAACCATGCCTGCCGCGTGCCTTCGCCGTCCACCAACGGCTGCTCAACTTGATACTCGATCTCGCCTCCGACGGTAGCCCTGTGCTTGAGGATGCGGCCAACCTCTTCTGCAGGAGCGGGGAGATCCTGACGGGGGCGGAAATGCCGCGCATGGATTTTATGCTTTTGAACTATTGTCGAATCTTCACCTACGGTAACCGCGCAAGCATGACAACGGAACGCTCGGCTGGAACCCCGGAGCCCCCCGCGCATGAGAAATGTGGCCCCGGAAACCGATGGGGTAAGAGTTCGCCCGGGTGTCCTCAGCAACTGCGTCGTGGTCAGCGCAGTACAAGCCTGCCTGCAAAGGCGGCCTGGGGCAACCCTGCTGCAACCACGCGTCCACTTCTGGGACGTGACGCGGCGGGCCTTCCAAGCAAGCGCACAAGAAACGTTTGGCCCCTCGTTTCCCGTCGAGCCCAACCGCGAAATCCGCCGACCCCTGAGGGTCCGCAGGCGAGCGGGGGTCGCGGGCGGGGGCTCTCAGGGGGAGCCCTCGAGACCCGACAGCGTTTCCTGACAGCCCCGCTGGGCAACGGGGTGCGAACGCGGCCCCGTGGACCGCGCAAGACGGCCAGGCCGCCTCTCGCCTTCCCGCGCCCCCGAGATCCCAGACCATGGCGCCCCGGAGAAGCCCGAGAAAAACATTGGCCTATGACGGCCTCAAAATAAGGGAAACCCGCAGCGTGGGCGGACGCGGCAGAAGCCCATGGGATA